CCACACCTTTTCTTTTTTTTTTTTTTTGGATTATCTAAATCGCGTCTATGATGACTGTCAATGATCCTAAATTTTTAAAAAAATATATGACTTGTTGCCAGTAACCTTCAACAATTAATGACAATCAGTAATTGTCTTAACTCAAAACATTCCAGTCTGAGACATGTGTCTTGAAAGTTGCGTACAAATGCGTAAGTCTCCACGCTGGGCGATAAATTCTTACTTATCTTGTTACGTCGTTCTGTTACTCAGTTATTTAATTTTGTCGAGCAGTCTACCTCAGTTTTTGTTTGTTCGTTTGTTTATTTGTTTGAGTAAAGAGCAGAAAGTAGGTGGTTGGCGGGTGCTCTGGTGTGGTTTGCTTCTTCTTTCCTATGAAACGTCTATCGTCCTTACCTCTCCTTCTTCTTTTTGGTGTTTGTTACTCTCTTGTAACACCTCTAATCTTCTGGCGCTCATATGACCTTATGCAGTTGTGAGCGCCGTAAAACCTCTACTAAAGCTAAAAAGAGCAGAACATTGACACAATACTCGCCATTAATTTAGTGCCAGGAAAAAGTCAGACAGACAGACAGAAATAACAGAAAATAAGGAAGTGGGGACCAGGCTACCACTACCAGTGGGTGGCTTGTTTGAGTAAAGAGAAGCACATCGACACAACGATGGTCATTTAGCGCTTGGGGGGGGGGGGGGGGGGGGGTAACACAGACAGACAGAAACAACAGATAGAAAATAAGGAAATAGGATCAAGGCTACCGGTGATTGGGGTGTTTGTTTTTTGGAGTAAAGAGAAACACATCGACACAGTAACGGTCATTTAGTGCTGGATGGGGAAAAAGTAAGACAAACAGACAGACAGACAGACAGAAACAACTGAGGGGAAAGTGAAGAAGTGGGACCTGTGAGTCGCGCCCTCCAACCACCCCCTCTTCCTCGACCAGCGGCTCGGAAGATAGGCCTACTTACTTATGATTAGAACATTCTAATACTAATACCAAAGATTCTCTACTAGATCTACTAGTAGAGAATCTTAGCTAATATGTCATGTACTCCGCTGTAAAGTTTTAGTAGAGGTTTTAGGGCGCTCGCAACAGCATAATAAGGTCATATGAGCGCCAGAAGATTAGAGGTGTTACAAGAGAGTAACAAACATAAAAAAGAAGGAGGGGAGATAAGGACGATAGATGTTTTAGTTGTAGTAGAGGTTTTACGGCACTCGCAACTGCATAAGGTCATATGAGCGCCAGAAGATTAGAGGTGTTACAAGAGAGCAACAAACATAAAAAACAAGAAGGGAAGATAAAGACGATAGATGCTTGATAGGAAAGAAGAAGCAAACCACACCAGAGCACCCGCCAACCACCCACGATAGATGTTTGATAGGAACGAAGAAGCAAACCACACCAGAGCACCCGCCAACCACCCACGATAGATGTTTGATAGGAACGAAGAAGCAAACCACACCAGAGCACCCGCCAACCACCCACGATAGAT